CCCCCCCCCCTCCCCCCCAAAAAAACATTGAAAAATGTAGCTTACATTTAGACAGGTCCCCCCCCGGTTTTGTAGAGATAGGGGGTGGGGATTGGATATCCGGGTCTCCTCACACCCCAGTGAAGAATTGGAACATCTGAGCCCAAGGTGCAGGGAGCGCCAGCAAGCCTTCACCAAAGGCAGGTAGTTCAGCCAAACCTGGGGCACGGACCGCAACGGAGCTTCGGGCTATCCACAATAAGTCTTGAATCAAACATGCACGTGTTGCCCAGCCATTGTGCAGGAGTCGTGCATGCACGCGCACACGCGCACACACACACACTGCCTAAACAATAGCACTCGGGACAGGAAACAAATGATTGGTCAATAATTATCCATGACAAGCACTTATCATCTGCCTAGCTCATGTCCACATTCCACCGTATTATATACATATCATTATATATCATGTATTAATCTGAAGAACCGTCTGGACCCTTGCGTTTCGTTGACCACTGCCGATCGAAACCTCGCTTCGCTTCGCTGCGCATGCCCGTGTCCCGGCCTTTGACATCACAATGCTCACATTGCCCTCCGCGGGTTGGTTGGTAAACAGGGCCTGGGAAGGTAACTTCACCTGGCGAGGTTTCTGGAAAAGCACGCGCCGGGATGCGGCGGGATGAGCCATGAAATGAAACACGGAGGTCTTGAGGCTTGAGAGTGCGACCTGTGAAGTTCAAAGCAAAAGCAATGACCCGTGCATGCTGATGCTGAGATAAGGCAAAGCATGGTAAAGTCAAGAAAATCACAACTCAACTACTGCGGACCTAGCGTCCACCACAATAAAGCGCTCAGCTTGGCTGACGAATGTTTGATGCACAAGAGAAATTCCTACACAACCAGTGAGGCATAACGAACCCATGCCATACGCACGTGGGCTCCCTTGACATCCAGTCTTGTCGCTCCAAGGCTGACTACCTGGGCAGCTACATTCAACTGACATCCCATTCCATCAGCCTTTCTGAAGAACATGACTCTGGACCAGGCCCTCTCCTTCCTGAAGCTATCACCATTGTTCGCCCACAAAGCTCGTTCAGCGCAAATATGTCCACCTGCCTGAATGGTGTCCCTCAAAGACTTCGGCAAATAGTAAGCATCAGGAAGGTGCAGCCTTGGAACGTGTGTCAGTGGGCAACTCTTGAGTCGGAGATCAGCTGGTGTCATCCCTTGGCTTTTTTCTTGCATGTCCTGGCATCCTCCCTCGCCCATGGAGAACAAGCCGCGGCTGGCTCCAAAAGACGCTGAGCTCAAGGCTGGCACCAAACATCCACTTTGGCTTCGCGCGCCACCTGAGACAGTCGTGCGAGACGCGTTTTGCGTGGCTCCAAGCACCGGCCGTGCGCTCCGCTTCGCTGGGCTCCGCTGGGCTCTGCTGGGCTCTGGGCGAGGTTGCTGACCACCAACTTGGATGATGCAGCTGGCGGTTGTGGGTTGCTTAAGTGGATGCCACCCTGCCACGACAGCGCGGATGGACGCATCATGATGATTTGTGGAATGGCAATATGGCATACAGAACTTGCTGGTCTGCACTACCTGCTGACTTAGTTGATCGGATCTCGCTAGAATGCTTGCGTTTTGAGTTTGAGGCCCAATGTCACTTCACAATATTGCAGTATGCTGCTGCAATAAACCGATGTCGTTTGACCCTCTCAACCTGGCCTTTGCTCTTGACAGCACCTGCTCAAAGGTCAGACCACCCATGCCAAGTGTCAAATTCCTCCTGAGTCCATGCACCGCAATGCGCGATGGGTGTAACATGGTGTGGTCGCAGCGTGGTCGCAGCGTGGTCGCAGCGGCCGTCCTCAGTAGCCTCGCTTGGTCCATCAGGGCACCAGTCACTGAGACCTGGGTGGAAGCTGCGAGCACTTGCCCAGCACAGGAGCCCCATCCCAATCGTCCGCCACTGACCCGGAGGACAAATGCCAATAAGTAAGTAGACCATAGTAGACCCCCTAGGATCGTCTGAGGAAGGTATGTGGTCCTCAAGTGGGGTGTTCATCAACCAGCCTGGACTTAGGACCACTTGACCTCCAAGTTGGTCCAGTCATGGCAGATAGTAATACAAAATCCTGGGACCTGCACTTCCAAATGCCCGAGCACCAGCTGGACCTGAGTTTCAAAGAGTTTCATGGCTGTAAGTCAAAACTTCCACCAAACCATGATAGGTTGACATCCTTCAACAATGACCCACTGCCATGTCACATGTCACCTAAACGATCGGACCCGGTCGATCTTCACGACCGCCCTGCAGGACGGTCCGAGAAGTGATGAAGGCCGTGATGTATGACCCGCTGTCGGGCCGTACGCGGCTCCGGCCTCTCGAAGATGGACATCCAACATGCGGATGTCATCTCTTCTGGTATGCCTCAGGCGTTTTTGGTCCTTCCCCCATGTGTGTTCCGCTTCACTGAAATGGTCTTCATATGTCTTCCTTCCCCAACTCTTCTCCGAAGACCCCGAAACAATTGGAGGGACCGCAGACCGTGGATGGACCCCGGCAGACGAAAAGTTGTCGCGTTCGGTGAGGCCCTCGCGTCCTCAAGGCGGGCTGGGAGGTGCTTTTGAGGATCACGTCGCGCTTGGGAGATTGCATGTCCACCTCGCGAGCGAGCCACGCGCAAGCCACGCGCGAGCCACGCGCGAGCGCGTAAATGCCATGCGGTATGTGACGTCTGTCCCCTTCAAGCGGTGGGCGGTGGGCTGTGTCTTCTTTTCACATTTGGAAGGGACCAGTAACATTTCTGGATGAAGAGTCTGTTACCAGTAGGGCACCAGTGCCCTTAGCAGAAGCCCTTGGCTTCCCAAGAGATTGAAGCAGTCTTCATGTACCACCGGTCGCTCGGCCCACCTGGATATCCCAAATCTGGAAGTCCACATCACGGCAACGGTTGGGCCTCAGCAGCCGGGTTTCTTTGATACACTC